TATGCAATGTCGAAATTTCTCTCGACAGTATCCAACAGCTAATAAAAAAACAAAACGCCTTCTCTCAGATTGGAATCCGACAGCACCTCTTAAACTGTCATTAAAATGGGTGGACCCGACTTGCCGCTACTTTTGTTCAATATGTTCACTATATTTTTCGAAAGATAAACAAAACACGAAGCTTTGAGCAAACACTTGTTTTCGATTACTTCTTCATCAGGCTCATACAGTAATATACATTAGGTTAACGTCTGTTGCAATCATTAGTGTAACGAAGAAACAATTGATCAAAAAATTTAACTTGTGATCATGATGGCATTCATCTGATCACATGACTGAAGTCAGGTGCATTTGCGGAGTACCATTAATTCCTTCACGGCTGGTGGTCGGCCAGGGAAGTTGTAGTGTTTGTATGGGTTTCTTCTGAACACACAAGTCCGGATTTGTTAGACGTATGCATATTGCCTCAACGGTGGCGAGTATGCTTGCTCTTAGACGATGGTTTAGTCTTGATGGTATTTTGTAGAGAATTTGAAAGCCTGTTCGTTTGTCTAGCATTCAAAGAAAATAGTGCGGCTGAGACATGCACACGCCGACTACAGCAAAGCTGCAAAAAGACCTTTAATGCGGCTCAGCTGAATGTGATTTTCACCAGCAGACCTTTACTAGTACCGTGATTCAAAGACCGAGTGCCTGATCATCTCCAATCGATGTTAATCTACCGGTTCACCTGCCCGTGCGGGGCCAGGTACGTTGGACGGACGACCAGGCATCTAGGTAATACAATTAAGGAACACCTGCTAGGTTGGCTCTACAAGCGCGAGAATAGAACAAACTACAGTGCGATTACAAACCATCTAATAAACACAGGCCACCAGGTAGACAAACGAACAGCCTTTCAAATTCGCTACAAAATACCATCAAGACTAAACCATCGTCTAAGAGCAAGCATACTCGCCATCGCTGAGGCAATATGCATACGTCTAACAAATCCGGACTTGTGTGTTCAGAAGAAACCCATACAAACACTACAACTTCCCTGGCCGACCACCAGCCGTGAAGGAAGTAATGGTACTCCGCAAATGCACCTGACTTCAGTCATGTGATCAAATGAATGCCATCATGATCACAAGTTAAATTTTTTGATCAATTGTTTCTTCGTTACACTAATGATTGCAACAGACGTTAACCTAATGTATATTACTGTATGAGCCTGATGAAGAAGTAATCGAAAACAAGTGTTTGCTCAAAGCTTCGTGTTTTGGTTATCGTTCGAAACCTGACGTAACAAATGGGCATTCTACTTGAGTTCACTTTATTGCTACAAACTAGCTATTTCTAAGATCAAAGGAAAATCTCGTTCATCAACCGACCGATCCGCCATACTCAGCCATCGCATTTCTGTTTGAAAGATTAACAAAAAAACCTTTATGGGATTCTTTAATTCTCTGGACCTGTTTAACACATAACAAAATGGTTTCCTCGATAGACGTTCCTGCACTGACTTAATTACTCCTCAGAATCTATAGACTCCGGTTTTGCAACCATTATTTTTTTGGACTTAGAAAAAGCATTTGACCGTACCACACAAACAGTAACTTTTTGGTTTAATAGTGTATGATGGGATAAAAAGCATAACTTTCCAAGACCCACAGGATGGAAAATGCACGAGAAAATTAAAATCAAAAATGTTCCAAAGTAGAACGTGAATCATCAGTAGCAAAGACATCGCACTTGATCACAATGTTGTGCAGCGTTTAGCACTAGGATGAACGTGTAGAGGTCCCTCGAATGTCGCGATGTCTGGTGCGTTCACCACATGTGTGGGTAGTGCATTCCAGTGACAACAGATTCTAACGGAGCAAAAATCCTTCCTACAATCCAAACCGGAATGTTGCGTCATTAGTTTCAGGTGATGGCTTAGACATTGTTTCTAAGAGGCTAGGTTAAGCAGTGATGTAGATGGGTGCTCGCTTTCAGTTAGTATCTGGTATTTGAGGACGAGATCCCTGCGAAGCCGTCGATCACCTGAGGAGAACCCACCGAGTAAACGTAGGCGCAGCTCGTAACTGAGACCGGATAGTCCATGTATCGCCTTAGTGGCTCTTCTTTGGGGTTGCTCCGACAGAGGAATATCTCGGGTTAAACCATGGGCGCCAGACCTGAACCACATATTCAACATGGGGATGAAGATATGTATTGATCAACAGTGGTACTAGCCGTCGATCAAACGTGCCAAGAGCTCACCACAAAAGCCTTAAGTTAAAGCTCCACACATTCGCTGCTTTCGAACATTGGAGCAAATTGCCAAGAATTTCTTGAATGATGAATACTGAGTAGTCCGTAACCTACTTTTAATTGGGCTTTCCATCTACTTTAGCAATCGATTTCAAATAGTCACGTCGTGTGACTCCTTTGGCTCCCTGTGGACTTCTAGAGACCGAGAAACTATCCTGTCTTTAATATCAATGGTCAAGACCTTTTCAATAAGCTGGCCGAACTAAAAGATCACCAAATTTCGAAGCCGTGCGATATTATCTGTGTCACGAAACATGGTTGCACATTGGGATGACAGACGCTGAAGTCTCGCTGCTGGGCATGTCACTCATAAGAAATGACAGGCATACGAAAGGAAGAGAGGTGATTCAGTATTATCGAAGCGACCAACAGTGCGAGGCCGTTGAGGATTCGCCCATTCTCTTTGGTGCCGCCTGAAATTACGTGGCAGAGACACCTACATTGTAGCTTTGGTATACCGCCACCCAAACTCTACCCCCGAAATGGACTGCCGACTTGCAACAGCTTTAAGATGCAGCCTAAAACGTAAGCAAACTCACACCCTTATCGTGGGTCATTTCAATATACACTGTTTAGAAATTCCTCTCAACATTGAAGCCATTCAAAGGAGATCTGCAAGAGCTTATAACCAGTGTCCCACTTTCCAATCACGTCACTACGCCCACTCGTTCCAGTACAGGTACTAGACCTTTGCTGGATCTAGTTTTCACCAACCAGGAACATATTATTGATCGTAGAATGCCCTTTGGGTCGCAGTGATCATGCACTCATCAGTTTTGACTTCATCTGCTATGTGAAATATCGCAACCAGAGCCCTGAGTTGATGCGCACCATTACGCGCTACGGCCACTTAGCCCAGCTCGTCAGTGCCACAACCTGGTGGTTCCTCGCTGAAGGCCACTCGGAAGTCGCCTGGCTTGAATTTGTCAGCAAATTCAGCCCTTTGCTATTTCTCTTTTATTCAGAATTCATTAGCATGCTGATGACATCAAGATTGTCTATAAAATCCGGCGTGATGAGATTCAGAACACACTACTCTTAATTCAAAATGATCTTCACTTTCTTGAGGAATGGTCCGAAACACGGATGAGGAAATTCACGACCGACACATCAAGGGTTGTCATGTGGTTGATCGATCCCCGAAGGGTCAGTTAAACTTAACAACAAAAGTATGTCCATACGACAATCTACCCGTGATCTTGGAATCCGGTGTTCTCCAGAATTCCGCTTTTCCGAACAAGCCCAATACCAAATAGCTCGAGCCAGGCACTCTGTGGCTAACATACGCCACAAAATCCATACAGTCCCTGCCAAACTCAAATTATTAAAAACCGTTACTCGTCCTATCCTTGAACGCCGCAATCTCATCTATGGCAGCATGCAGAAGATGGATAGGAAAGCTAAGGAAAATTTACACAGGTCATTCAACAAACGTTTATTTAGTGGCACCCACCCTAAACTACTGTAAACGTCGAAAATAGCTTTATATCGGACCCATCTGAAACAAAACTTGATGCTACTACATAATTTGTTAATTCAGAAAATGCCTGCTTATCTGCCTAATTTAGAGATGAGGCAACATATCCGCAACAAATATATGCGCCACTGGTACCAAGGGATGGAACAACCATGCGCTTTAACGTTTTCCCCATCAGATACGCCGATTGGTGGAACAGCCTGCCAACCAAACACAGAGCATGTGAAAACCGCACATCATTTCACACCAAACTCAATATGTTCCTTGATCCGGAAATGGTAGTATCCATGTTCTCATTCGACAAATCGCCTGATGAACCATACCAGGATGGACCAAAAAATATCAAAAGGCTTAAAACTGTCAACATTATACACGCATGCAAGAATATGATCATTTCGGTATATATTGAAGTGTTCTTGCTTTAGGGGCAGTTTTCTGAACTTTAGAGTAATATACGGATATTATTATTATTACTACCGATTAGCGAACTGTTACGCTTTAACATTTCCGCACACTACTGAACGTCTCCCTGTGTCTGCCCTTTTTCATTACGATTGCCAACCTATCTTCTATCGTCCTTAGTTGAAAGTACAGAGCCACAGTAACAGGAATTCATGTTTCATTTCTTCTGCCCAGACCGTGCATACATTGTGAGTTCACTAGTCATGCGATTTACTTAGTTTAGGCTTTGTATCGTCGCTACAGCCAAAATGAATGAAAATAATGGGCGTGGTGAAAACAGCAGTCTAGACAGCGATACCTCAAGGCCGAATGTGTAGATCACATGAAGGTGCATTCAAAATCATAAACAATCCAAATAGCTGCTCAACTCAGATGTTTTAATAACATTGGGATGTACAACGTAGAGGAAATCGGGTGAAACTCGCAGTGATAATGTCGATGAGTGCGGGTCGGTAGCGCAGAAATGCATCGCAGACATATTAATCACGTTTCATAAAATCATACAAAATAGTATACGGGTTCCGAAACGTTGAATGACCCGAGGGATATTGAGACATGAAATGTGATTTGTGAGTGATTAGAACGAAGGGCGTGAGCTGGATTTGACCACGATTCCTTAAAATTGCCGCCGTGTATCTGTATTGTTTTGCGAAAACGAGTCAAATGTCAACGGACAACCAAGTGGGAACCAAAGATGGCTAACGGAGAATCCTATAGTGCGGAGTAAGGTCATATGGAGAGCATTTATGAATCATAAACTCACGGAGTTGTTGACTATCATCTTTTCATCATCATCAGCAGAGAACGTCTGCTCCGGTAGGACGATTTGTAAACACCCAAGACCATGCATAAGAAACAGTATCTGTAAGGAAGTAAGATGAAGTCAATAAAACTACAAAAGGCAAGGTAGGTGGTGTGGTAAGTCAATTTACCTTGCCATGAGAACGGCAAGACACTGACCTGTGTCAAGAAAATGCTGAGGTGCAATGCAAGATGTGTGCTAAGTGGAAAGCCCAAAGAAACGGTTGGGCTCGACTATGAATGTGATGGGGGCAGATGGAATCGATGCGGCACCGATGGACTAGGGGCCAATCAGACGAAAGCCGAGCACAAGACAATGGAAAAATGACCTCACGTCTTAGATTAAAAAAGTGTTTGACAAGTAGCATAACGTCTACTTGAGCCATTGAGCAATTCAACCGTGGAACATAACAGGGACAAACAAGAACGCGCCGATACGGCATAGAAATATGTTCGGTCATGAGTGTAGGAGGGGGTTTTGAGAGAAGATGGTGTAATGTAAAGGATGCATCATGAATATCCAAGGGGTAGTAAGCACTGAGTGTAATTCTTATGTTTAGCCACATGTTAGAAAACACATAACAGGGTAATTTCGGGGTGTAATCCCTATGGTGCATAAAAGTAAAAGGGTAATCGCAAACAGTACTAATTTGGAGCTTCACATATATCCGATCCGCCGCCTTTCAAAGTGGAGGCACCTTGTGGAAGATCACAACTATCTCCCCGTGGATGGGATCGCAGTGGAAGGTTTGCTGCATATGGTATAAGACAGGCGCCAGGTGACGTCAAATATCAGTGGGAGAAGTTTGGATCAAAAAATAAGGCAAGTATCCAGTGAGTGAATTCGACTGAGAAGTCTGAGAGCCATAACCGAATTAGTAGGGACGAAGGTAGAGACGGAACGAAGGTGAACAATTGGTGGTGAAGTCAAAAGAGCTGCTGACATAAACTAAAGCTCGATTCGACGTAGGCGAGTACTAGGTGGTGATAATCATGCTAGCTCCCTAGAACAACAAATAGCACTGAATAAGTTGCGTTGGCTCGAGCACGTGCTACGTATGCCTGGTCACCGATTACTTGGGAGGGCCTTGTTTAATCTGCCAGGTGTAGGGTGGCGCAAGGCTCAAGGTGGACAGAAGTTGACTTGGCAGCGTCAAATGAAGTCACTGACGACCAAACTTGGTGCAGTTGGTTCGTCTCGCCTCTCGGGCTGGAGTCCACGTGACTCGCCTTGTGCTTGGCTCGAGACTTTACAGGACATGGCTCGCAACCGACACCAGTGCCCCGACTGCAACCGTATCCTAATCTGATTTCCGGCTTAAAGTGTGTTTGGTGCTGAGTTATCTGCGAGCTAATGGATGATTATGACGCGTGCCAGTGAAAGCCGCAAGGAAGCTGTCTCGCCGATGCCGCCTTACCTTTGAACGATAGCCAGCTTTTTGTGACGGTATGTTGTCTACACAAGGTGTAGGCACCTTGACCCTGAATGTTTGGTTAGGGCATTGAGGTTTTCAGGTAAATCCCCCTCCCCTCCCTCTTCTTATTCTTTATTTAATAGGTCCTCATGGTTGTACGGCAGCGAAGCATCAGTTCACATGGCTGATGTACTGGTGTTGTTGATGATGATCTGATGACAATGAGTGGACGACAGAGATTCACGAGGATCCATTACCCTTAAAAGTCTGAAAACACAGTTCAGTTCAACTAAATGAACAGTGAATTTTTTTATAATTCACCGCTACTTGTATTAGTATCAGAAGTAAGTTCGATCGACCGACTCGAAGGCAACTCACAGTTTATGCAGGCTTGGTGCAGTACAATCGTTAAGCGGTGAGCAAAGTTTAAAAACGTAAATTAAAGAATACAGCCTCTATAAAAATAATCCGGCCCAATTCCGATAAAATGGACCTGCCGAAAACAAAAGGGTCACCGAACGATAATGCATGTAATTAGTTTGGAGGTAATGTTGAGAGGAGCACATACTTTATGGCATTCTCATGGGCAGGTAGGACATGCAATGTTGACAAGTTCCGAGTGGGCAAAATAACAGTGTGGTGCATATCTGGATACACGATGGCATTCTTACCGAGTGCAACTGCTACCACTCCCCTTAATATTACACTCGGAATCCATAAAAGTTATTGACCGCTGTTCGTCCAGCTCTATTTGCGTTCACTTTGCCACAGGTGGTTGACATTTTTAAGATCAAATTAATCGAGATGGGTGCGTAAGGTGTACCTCAGTGCTCGGACCGTAATTATTAGCTTGCCCCGAAATCAAGCGAATTTATTTGCATTTCATTCCGGATCTTACTGGAAGATTCTTTTACATGGGTATATACGGGGACACACTGGAGCAATAATCTATCGTTGTCCATTTATCCTACATTTTAGCAATGGCTGTGGTATTGACTAATGATCAACATGCTGTTCGCAGATGCTCATTGCACGAGTACCTACAAGGGCGCAAAGCAATCGAGGCTTGTCGAAACATGTGTGGCGTACTAGGCACGGGTGCTGCGAATTACAGTTTAGTGGCATTTTGGTTCCGCTGGTTCAAAGTAGGCAACTACGATTTGTCCAACATCGGAGGTCAAGGACGTAAGCCAATGGACATTGACAGCAGCATCCAGGACGTTCTAACGGAGGATCTGAGTCAAAGTGGGTGTGAAGTCTCGTCACACTTTGGCATTCCAAAGACCACCGTTCACCACCATTTGAGTCAATCCGGAATGCTCCCAAAGTTCGGACAACTGGTACCACACGAATTGACTGATGAGAATCTTTTGAAGCGTTGTGCCATCGCACTTTCACTGTTCACCCGAGGACGCAATCATCGATGACTGAATGATATCATTACTGGAGACAAGAAGTGGGTGCTCCATGTCAACCATAGCAGGAAGCGTCAGTGGATCGCAGCAGATGAAACGCCAGTACAAATCCCGAAAGGCGAACTGCACGGCAAAAAAGTGCTGCTGTCAGTCTGGTGGGATCGCCGAAGCGTCATCCATTGGGAATCGCTACCTGACAACTACTGTTACTGCCGATGTCTATTGTCAACAACTGCAAAAGATGGTCGATGAACACCGAAAAAAGCGTGCAAAAGCGACCCGAATCATTCTCTTGCATGACAACGCACGTCCTCATGTGGCAAAGATGACGCATCTCAAAATGCAGCAGCTCGGTATCGAAACTCTTATGCATCCAGCATATGGCCCGGGCCTTACTCCTACTGATTACAACCATTTCCGCTCGTTTCAAAATCACATCAAGGACAAGAGATTCCATGGCCGCAAACATATCGAAACATATCTTGCCCAATACTTTGACAGCCAGCCCCGCTCGTTCTATGGGAGAGGCATCGACAACTTGCCACAGATGCCGCAGATAACAGTGATGAAATCGCGCCCAGGCATCCACAAAAAGGACTAACAATCTGCTGTATCTAAGGAAAAACACGATTCAAATGACGTTGGATAGGCTGTAGAGGTATCGAAATCGCTGTACCGAATCGATACACCGTGACAACGCAAGATGGCGGAACTCACAGATTAATCTCACCCGTACAGACAACGTTAGAATACTTACTTCTACATCAGTCAAAATCATCTGGACATGTTCGTTTGTAACTTTCTCAGTTGATTCTGGTCTATTGGATCCGAGATCCGGCGACCTGCCCCCACACATGACTTCATCCGACTCTTCCTCACTGCTAAAAGACCTACAGGGAATTGGAAAGCTGAGAACAGTCGAGTTTAACAATCATGAGACCAGGAGTAAGGGGTAGGTGAGCTCTTAACTTACCGCTCTGATTCATGCGCGTGTGCAGGTTTGGAAAACTGTTCACAAGGAATGTAGCCGTAGAAGCCCTGCAAGTGAGATGGGCATCAGTGTCAAAGGACATATTTTCTGCGACATTTCGTGCTACTAATAAATCAGAGTAGTATGTGTGTAAAACTAGTATTGATTCCCAGCGGGCGTCACGGGAACTGAGTTGGAGGCAATGGAAGCAGTGATGGCCCAATGCTGTGAATCGAGATTAGTAAGAACCGGTAGCAGATGGATCTGAAATACTGGTGTAGCGTAATGACAACATAAGGAATTATCCTCCCTTCAGTTCACGGCATTTTGGACGGCATGGAGAAAAACCGGAACGAACGAAAGCATACCGGTATCAGCTACTTTGTACTGTAGACTAGATGCCGGTAGGCGACCCATGTATACCTTGTACTGGAGCATAAGAACTGATATCACGCGTAGCAAAAATTTCGAACGGGCAAGTGTGTGCGCTTGATTAATGGTATTTTGACTGTCAGGTTCATGTACTAATTATGGCAAAAATATCTGAGATATTAATAGTGGTAAAGTGAGTCGTGGTAGGAACGAGTTGTAACAGATCCGTAAAAGGGTGTGAAAGACTGGTAAAAAGAAGCATACTTCTAGGTCACTGGAAATGTGATACAAAGTAGAATAATGGTTGATTTAACCAATGAAGGGACCGCTTGAAAAAGACTGGTGGCTGGTAGCCCAGAAAGGATGAATTACTTCTGTAGTTGAAGTGTATTGAGATTAAAGGTGTGCGATTACGGCAGCACCGGCCAAACGCTACGTTTTTATTCACTGGAATAGTTTTACTCTAGAACACCCCAGTACGATGAAACTGGACCCTAAAGTCGTGCGACAGTTTGCCTACTTCCGTGACCCAGTGAACTACACCGAGTCACTCATACCAGACAACTCGATTGTTAGGAGTCAGATTAAAATGGGATTAGTCGACTGAGAACAACAGTTGTGGTGCAGTGCCAGAAGTGGTCTAACTCCGAAGGACCATGAATTCGATGAAACAGAAAAGTGCCGGACAAAAGTGGCTCATCACTAGGCTACTGACGAATCAGCAAGAACGGAGCTCAAGCGAAGTATACTGCGCATGGAAAACGCCTTATACATATGTACACATGTCATTTTCACTTTAAACGACGTATTGCAAACCCCGATGGACGTTTAGCAAACCAAACTGGATACAGTTTATTTTAAGCAGAAAATCAGCAATTGTTAGCAAAGAATAATGAACAAGGCGTCTTGAGGATGTTCAAATTACAGCCAGGCTAAGGCAATCCAACTTGTGGTAGAGCTGTACGCAGTCGCGCACGTCCTTAGGTTGTGGATCTGTGTTATGGGGACCCAACGTCCCTATAATTATTAAAGGCTTAAATTACGGAAGGCTGAAAACCCGATTCACTCAAGTGCACATGTACTCAGAGCAGACAAAACGCACACGTTCAATCAGCCTTCCAACTCGTGTAACATGCACAGTGTTTAGCCTTTGCACCCAGAAACAGTCTTGTTTCCAACCAAACACGCATCGTTGTATCCAAGCAACATTCATTTTTCCGGACAACTCTCGCCAAACTTCCAACATTTCTGCTCAGTTTACGGACTTTGCACATTTACATAAAACCATGTTTCTTGTTTCCAGGGTTTGCGTACGCAAACCCTTCCAAGGAAAAACCCCCCTTCATCACCGTTTCGTGATATAAAAATGAGGCTGTAAAACGCTAGAATCGCCTTAGCTTTGGCCAGTAAAAGCGCCTGTGGCAAAGGCCTGTCTTGTTCTTGCTTCAGTCTTGGGTTGGGAAATCGTGCGTAGAAACTTTGCGTTCGGAACCTGTTCGACTCGCGTGAATTAATCTTTCGCGGCTAAGTTCCGAGAAACCACAGACTTCGAGATTGTCAGTTACCGTGCCGTGCGAGAAATAATTCTGTCTAGTTCGTTCATCCGTCTAGGAGAGTTGGTATCACATTGTTAGAACTTGACGTATTCAAGAGGCAGTATTCAACAATCTGGAATGTCGTCGTTGTGGAGGTAACTCTGAATATGTTTCGTTTGCTCTGCAGGCGAGATGAATAAGCAGTTGCGGACAATCAGCGGTAGCGTCACAGAGTGTGGGGAGTTCTAGGCTGGTTCTCCATAAAATACCACAAACGCTCGTACGGCGCTGTGTCAGAGCCAATGCGACCGGGTATAGGGTCGCTGGTCACTCACTTCGGAGGTAAGTGCCTAATGGTGGGCGGGTGAACAACCTTGTCGTGTTATCGGCTCCCGACGGTTCGCGACATACCTTAATCGCTCCGCTGCCTTGCGGCTCAAGGCTCGGTATAGGGTCTCCTAAGTAAACTCTCCTTCGACTTAGGTATCCGGGGAACTCTGTCCCAACAACATATGAACATGAACATACGTAACTGCTCTTAATCTAAGCTCTCTGCATTCGCTTTCCTCGGCCGAGGTGCTCGTGGTCAGCTTCGCTAAATCAGGCTCTAACGCACCACCTGCTACATGTTTTGTTCCACGTTTTACGAATTCACTCATTCTTGGTAATCCACTTCTGATATCGGGTCTCCGACACCGTGCCGCCTTAAGTGGCAGTTCTAATCGTGTCGATGAGCAGCTCAGACCGTCTTGTGCCACGCAATCGCGAAGACAGTATCTCTCTAGCCCCCGTTCCCAATTCAAGCTGACCGCTTTCAATGTCCGGACGCTCATGTAGATATGGTCGCAAGCAGCTCTTCCTCGCACTGGAAACCCTATCCGTCATCATATGTTGCCTCGCAGAGACCCACTTGCAGAACTCTACGACTGTCATCACCTTCTGTGCGCTCCCACAGTATGTTCACACCATGCTTATCCGCAGACGCGACTGCTGAAGCAGCGGGCTTCGCCGGTGTGGAAATCACTTTAAGCGCATGCGCAGAAACTGCGCTGTTTGACTGGATCCCAGCTATTAGCCGACTCTGTGTATTTCGGCTAGAAAGCGCTGTACGATTGTCTGGCCGCTAGATTACTAAACGCCGTTTCTTTGTCGTAGCGGATTTCAGCCCGGCCTCAATTGAAAAGGAGTTCTACCATCATCTCTCCGACCTTCTCGATAATAAACGCAGCATGGATATCATGGTGCTCGTTGGGGACTTACACGCACAGGTTGTTAGACTCGATGCTGATGAACGCGACCTAGGTACTCGGTATGGCTATGGTACTCGCAGGACGGAAAAACTTACAACTCTGTGCTGATCACGGTCTGTTCCTTACGAGCACAAAGTTTCGGCGCCCCTGGCAACAGGGAGTCACCTTGCGACCTCCTTCACCTGGGCAGCAGCGGATGCAGCTTAACCACATCGCCAACAGTTATCGTTGGTGAGGCTGTATAACGGATTGCAAATCAATTTGGAGTACTTATCTCACGTCTGATCACGTACCTGTGTATGCTAAAGTTGCCTTTCCCTTTGGTGGCACCCAACAGCGTCGTCGGAAACGGCTTGACGTAGCAAAACTTACTGCTCCAAATAGCCTCTGTGCGTTTCGGAACTCGCTAGCTTCTAATCTAAGAGTCCTTCACTCCTAAATGTTGATGCGCATCGGACTCACATCCGATGTGCCATACATAAGTCCGCCAGCGTCATCTGCGGTTTCACCAAGCACGACCTCAACCGATGGGTCGCGAGATCTGGGAGACGCAGCGTGCCATCGATATGGCACATGCTGCATATTTAGGGAACTTCCGCAGACTCTTCGCTCCTATCCGATCTACCGAGGCAAGAAATAAACTGTAAACAATGTGGTATGTGAAACCAGCGGTGAACCAATTCACAAGCACCAGCGCCGATCTGTACGTTGGGCAGAGCACTTCGAACAGCAGTTCGACTGGACACCATTGCCCCCGAGTTACCGTTCTTGTATCCACGGTGTTCCCTGGAGTATGATCACCTCTCCGCCATATGAGACCGAGGTTGCCTATGAGCTCCGTCTTCTGAAATGCCACAAATTTATAGCTATTTTCAAGGATGGAGACTCGTCTCTCTTTTCTGAATCGACTATGCATTGCTAGCAACTCTGTTTTTACGGGAGCGTCAGTCGAGTAGGCGAACAGCACACACGTGAACAGCAGGCTGGGCCTCGTCCATGTCGGACTGTATTGATCCCATCTGTACGATCCGCCAGACGCTCGGGCATCGTCGAGTTTGCAGCCGGCCTACCATGTATGGCATCCTGGACATACGTGCAGCGTTTGATTCAGTTGACAGAGCTATTCTCTGGAGTTGTCTGCTGAGAAGGGGAGTGCCCGTGATGCATGTTAGTATACTTTAAGCCATTTACTCTCGGACCGAATGCGAGTGTGCGGCTGACTTTCGCCCCCCGTTTGTATTACTAGTAACGTGAGACAGGGTTGCCCCACATCAACCTTTTTGTTTGACTTCGCTATGGATGACATCTTAGTGTTCTGGGAAGCTGCAGGCCTGTGGTGTCCAGTTACTCCCAGGTGATCGGCTCCGTGAGTTGGAGTATGCTGACGAAATCATCGCAATCGATGACTCATCGCAGGCTACCCAAGGCATGTTGTGCAGGTTGGAGATGCCTAAATATATGGTCGTTCACTTCGATCAAATAGGGCGACAAAGTACCCCCCTCCTACTTGCCCATCGCTTTTTGGATACTTTGCGTGGGTGTGTTGGTGAACCTGTGTAGCTGAGCGACTATTGAAACAATGTAGGCTGTCAAGAATCCAGTCAGTCTTGTCTACCTTTATTAAGCTGCTACAGCACTAAAACAGTAAAATGAGTTACGAAGGACAAAATAATCGTATCCGAAGCAGCGACGGTGCAAGTGAACGCCAGTGACCCAGACTTATATTTGTCGACGGCAAAATCACCCATAAAACTACTGAAGTCGCTGATGTCAACGAGAGCACGACAAAAGACATCATCAATTCCTACAGGCGGAGAATAAGGGTGGCTATGAAGTGTGTTTTAAAAGTTGACATTAGGTCCGTTGACTACGGTGAGGTTACCATATTTGATAGGTAAGAGATCGTGACTATGTCAATTGTAATATAGAAAGGATTGCCAAGGCAGGGTGCATATCATAGAAAGATGTATAGAACAGTGAGTTGAGGAGCGCGTCTTCGGCTTCCAAGCGTAAGGCACTGTTGTAATGTAAGGTCGGAAAACCATCAATTCACATAGGTAATAAAAAGCCATTTGAAGCGGTTCACCACCATAGTACATCAGCATGTGCATCCCTAATGGTTGGTTAACATCCAGAGGTTGTACAGATGTCACTTCTACAGACTCAGCCAATAATCAGCTAATCACTCGGTCAGTGTAACTGCATGGGTCTCAATTGAGTTAACTAGTGAAGAATTAATAACTTTGCGGAACAAAGCAATACTTGTAATTACCAGGTTCGACTATCTGAATTGATCACTTACTTGGTTTGACGTTTATGATGGCCTATGTGGTAATCCACCGGACATCTACACCGGCAATGTTCTGTTTAGCATAGGCACATGGACTGTGCACAAGTGTATAAGATGTCTACCCGACGTTCATCTGGTAAGCCGAGGTCGTGAAAACTCCACTGACTGTCCCCACCCCATAGATGGAGACACCTGGCAAGATGGAATTTGAAGTTCAGCGGCACAAACGCACCACACCTTTAGTTACATTTACTCGCTCGCCAATTTCAACCATAATTTCACGATTAGTAAATGTTAGCAAATAAGATGCGGGAAACTTCGAAAAATCGAACCACAATACATGTTTGAATGGAACTAGGCTGATTACTGGTTAGAACTGCAGATATTTAAGTACATAAAATCTGCAAATCTGCGCAGCTGAACTTATTTACAGAAACTACTCAAAATATAAAAGCAATATTCGTTGAAATGAAGGTGAAGATGTTACCAGCTTACCCGGTTTCGTAGATAAGTCGCCTGTTTAGGGTCATCTACGAGTGCACGACTTGAGGAGATCAATTTAGCCACGATTGTCGGTCTAGACAAAAGCGATTTGTCCTCTGCGTCCCTATCTATTGGAAGAAGGTCCTCCAATACGGGAACAGGGAAAGGTATGTAAGGTCCAACGTCCGTGGATGCTTCGGTCTGTTTCGCACGGCCCAGAAACTCATCGTCATGTTGAAGTGAGAACTGTGTTTGCAAAGTTCAATGGGTAATTTTCTTCAGCTGAGTGCATCCGAGGTGCCAGATACAATAAATAGAAGGCGCAAGAAAATGCGAAATGTTTAAGCAGAGATCCCCGGGCGGGGAGCGTAAAGACATGAAAGGGCCACCTAAGGCAACGAACGAAGATTGCACAGTGGAATAAAGACAAACAGATAAACAACGAAGATCCATTCAAAGTTAAGTAGTTGAGATTACAAGCAAAGGCAAGTCTTATCCGACTCGTTTGTAGATCGCGTGTGCCGATGCGGGTTCAAGATACAGCCCTGTGCAACACTGGGACATTAAAATAGCTGGTCTGAAGCCACAAATGGGTGAACGCAGCCTCAAAGAGAATAGCCTGAAGCTATGTAACACGCATAATTCAGACAAATGCCCAACGCGCCGCTCAGTGCACACACATACACAATTAAGAACGGTCACGTTTCCGCAAATCAAACAGATCAATTTAACTGAACAAGTTGTTAGTTGCTCAGGCTTCTAAACAACCGCAATACTTAAGCAAAAAGATAATGGTGAAAATTCGTTCAGATAGTCACCATAGCTGTGAAAGAGACCAGCAAATTTCGCTGAGTTTCCGTAAATACCCGTAACAGACCAGCCAAACACTTAGCGTTACTGAAGGGATCAACCAAAGCTGACTAAAGACGATTCTATCATTTATGACCTTTGCTCCATCCGATTTTCCGGTCAATTCTTGCTATCGAGCGACGATCCCAGGGTTCACTCAGCCAGACGAAGTATGTAAAAATGCAACGCTTCGAAGAAATTGATCTGGTATGAGTGACCCTGAAAATGTATGAAGAGCCAGCCAATGTAACTCAGTGGATCACGGAAGTACGCAAAT